ACTGATCCCGTATAGTCTACATATATTGCCTACAATTATTACCCCAATGCGAGTGGGTCGGTTCCATTATTCGCCTTCTCCTATATGCAAGAAATGCTCGCCTATAATACAGTGGCAAACTTCCTAGCATTCTGTATAAAGCGTTCTGATCCTCGCCAGCTCACGGCGTGACCTAGAATCGTGATTGTCTCTCTGTCGGGACATACGGTGTCGGCATAGACAGCCTTCGTCGTTGGTCTTGGTGGAACGTCGCGTGTGCGTGCTGTCGTGTCACCGTGTCGCAGGTCTGCTCATGTTCAAAGCCGCGCTGGCTTCTTCCGCTGGCTGCTTGCTCGGGTGCTAATGCATGTTTAGTTTGAATCGTCATTCCTTGCTCGAATTGTAGGCGGTACGTGTACCAGCCGACAGCTTAACACTGAGTCAACCAACTCAACACTGCATACTGCTACGCTGCTGCAAGCGTTCGTTCGCTAACACTTAAATGGGATCGTAGTCGGCACGGACTCAGTACACGCTATGGGAGTGAGTAGCGAGATCAGCTCAGGCGCGCCTCGTCTAAGGTAGTTATCCGTACTTGCAACAGGTTGCCAGATGAGCACGGTGTTCACGTTTCAGTAGCAGTGCAAGCATAGTGCGCACCGATGCGAGCACGGTTACGCGTATAGCATACAGTAGCCTGCGCAAATGTGTGTGTGTCTAGAGCTTACCCGACGCTATGAGCACCTACTTAGTGCGGAATATGTCTTTTTCCGGTCGCCAGACTTGCCACGAGTAGAACTATCTGTGAGCAGACTCCGTATATATATATAATATAAATAAATATTATATATTATATATAATAATCTACGGCTCTTTACTGTGCGGCTCGGTCCCTAATTCTGTTAGTGTTCTTCTGACAGTTGGACTGATGTGGCGGATAGTAGCCAGATTAAGAATATATGAGAGGCGGACCGCCGTGACTGGTTGTGGGTATTTGTCAAGCAATTAAGGATGAATAAACAGGAGAGAAAGATAAAGGACCAGAAACTTAAGTCAACATAAGTTATTAAAACATTCAGAGAGGAGAGGGATGGGAACAGCAGCAGCAACAGTAAGGCAGTCGCTAGGCCCAACAGCAGCGGCAGGAGAAAATAAACTGATACCGAAGAGCATGGAGAACGAATAGGAACCTCGACGAAAAAGGTAGTAAGGACGAAGACGGTGAGGAGAAGTAGAGGAGGAAGAAAGAAAGAAAAGAAGGCAGGTGGGAGTGACAAAGAGAGCAAAGAAAGAAAAAGGAGATGGCGGCGAGGCATCAATTGTCAATAAAAAATAGACTTAATTAATTATCTGAAGAAACGAGAAAGCATTAACATATATCCATATATATATCCGTATAGATCGATAGATAGATAGATACATAACATAAATAATAAATAGATAGATACGATAGATAGATAATAGATAGATAGCTAGCTAGATAGAGTGGATGCGATGGACTAGACTAGATCAGCATGAGATGATTAGATAGCTCGCCTAGATAGATTAGAAGATAGATAGATAGCAGTAGATAAAGATACTGATAGATACGATAGATAGATAGATCGATAGATTTAGATAGATAGATAGATAGATAGATAGATATATAC